ATTTATTTGATATTTGTCCCAGATATCTGTAGTAATTTGTTTTCATTCACGCATATAAGCAAGTGCTTACAATGAAATACCGCCAAAGGTGGCTATATGCCCTGCTCTCTGCAACCTTGTTCAAATTTGTTTCCCAAAAAGAATAAGAAATATAACAGTCTTCTTAATTTTCCAAGGATACTTGCTGTTAACTCTTTGAATGTTTTTATTTAGACAGTGAATGTTGTTTTTTAGCACTTTATCAAAATGCTTTATTCTATTTTTAACTATTTAATTTACTAATTTCATTAATTATTATCTTATTTAATAAACAGGGAACCAGAAATGACTACATATAAAGGGATTTATATCCTTGCCTCAGTAAGGGAGATTATCTCTTTTCAAACTCTGATTAGTCATGAAGAGGCAAATTTAGCAACAACCAATCATCCACTCTAATACCTTAAAATCCCTCAGATTCAAAACACCTGTTTTCTGCAAAGAGCAACAGTTCCATAACTAAGGGGGAAAAAAAACCCACTGTTTTGGGGAACTAATACTGTAAAATAAATTTTCAAGGCACCAATAATTTCAGTTCTAAAGATGATCTAGAAAGCATATGAGAATGGCAGTGCTTTCTTATTACCTAGGAACACTCAGTTCTTGCATGAGTTCATCCATGATGTAAAAGCTAAATCTTAAATGAATATATATTTTCTGACATTAGCTATGCCTTCCAATCAATTAAAGTAGATTAAGAAGCATACAGTTAGAGTGTCATAATATGAAAGGACCCTTAATGAAATTCTTCCAGAACTTTTATTTCATTGGCCATTTTAATTTCCTAATTAAAAAAAATAGGCAGGAAAAAAAAAAGGGTCGGGGGAGGGCAGTGCCTGGGCGGCTCAGTCGGTTTTAAGTGTCTGCCTGAGGATCCGGAGCCCTGGGATTAAGCCCCACATGGAGCTGGGCATCCAGCTCCCTGCTCAGCAGGGAGTCTGCTTCTCCCTTTCCCTCTGCTCCTCCCCAGCTCATGCGCGCTTGCTTGCTCGCTCTCTCTCACAAATAAATAAAATCTTTAGAAGAAAATAGGCAAAAAAGTAAAATCCAGCTGTCTACTATTTACAAGTGATACCCAAATTTTAATACAGATGATTTGAAAGTAAAGGAGAAAAGGTACTAAGTTAATGGCAAGGAAAAGGAAGCAGAGGTGGTAATATTTAAGAGCAGACTGCATAGAATTTAAGTCAATGAGTAGTAAAAAGGAAAAAAAGTTATTTTATATTGATAAAATATCCAGTCCATTTAAATTAGTCATTAGTCATTATATGTATCATACAAAATAGCATGAAAACACATGTTGGCAGTAGTAAGAAGACAGGGAAAGACATCATTATAATGGGAAATTTTAACTATCCCTATGAATTCGACAAATATACAAACTAATATGGTTACAGAAAAATTTTAAAGGCACTAACATTAACAAGATTAATTTATATCCTAGAAATAGAAAATACATTCTTTTCAAATTCCCACAATTTTACAAAATAGACCATATACAAGGCCATAACAAAATCTTTAAAAATTATAAAAAGTAGTCATAGAGACTGCACATTTTAACAATCATAAGACAATAAAACTAAGAAACTTGTAATAAAAGGAGAACCAATTATCAGCACCACCATCATCTAAATGTGTGGAATTAGTTTTCAAAAAGTTCTGTATTTTTCCTTCTCTAAAAAGAAACTCCTTTAAATATGGTGTCTTTCAATAAGGTCGTGCTTAGATATCATTATCTATGACTAACAACCATAATAATTTTGTTTTAAAAAAGGCTAAAATTGGCCCTGCCCCGCCCCTGCCGGCTGGGGTTCCCGAGTCCCTTGCACCGCGACCCCCGCACGTCTGCGAACATGGCGCTGCGAGCGGTGCGGAGCGTGCGGGCTGCGGCCTGCAGTCTGCGCGTCGCCTCCGCGCCCGCCGCACCGTGCCTGACGCGGCCCTGGGGGCTGAGGGCGGGCGCCGTCCGGACACTGCGCACGGGCTCCGCTCTGCTCTCCGTGCGTAAATTCACAGACAAACATGAATGGATAACAACAGAAAGTGGTATTGGAACAGTGGGAATCAGCAATTTTGCACAGGAAGCTCTGGGAGATGTTGTTTACTGTAGTCTGCCTGAAGTTGGGACAAAACTGAACAAACAAGATGAGTTTGGTGCTTTGGAAAGTGTGAAAGCTGCTAGTGAACTCTATTCTCCTCTATCAGGAGAAGTAACTGAAATTAATGAAACTCTTGCAGAAAATCCAGGACTTGTCAACAAATCTTGTTATGAAGATGGTTGGCTGATCAAGATAGCACTCAGTGATCCTTCAGAACTGGATGAATTAATGAGTGAAGAAGCATATGAGAAATACATAAAATCTATTGAGGAGTGAAAATGGAACCCCTAAATAAACTAGTATGAAAAAAAAAAAGGCTAAAATTGCTGGGAGGCTCAAAAAGATGAAGAAACATCATTTTCTTGATTTGTGTTCAATAATCCCCCAGTGGAAATGCTTATTTCCAGCCTTGTATTCATAGGTGCTCATACTTGAACTTATATACTGCAAAAGACACAGGAGCCACGTACAAGTTCAAGAAGACAGGGGAAGAAACACCATCCATCAAACCAAAACTAAGGTTTATATAACAGACACAAAAAGACAAAACCAAGAGAAGAAAATACATTTTAGAAAAACAAACTTCTTAGAGACCATTGTATTTTACCTGCATTTCCACCCCTAACATTCCTACTATTATTCATAAGGGTGTCTACTAGAAAACCAAGACCAACACCATTCATTCACAAACTAAGCAAGCTAATAATTGTTTTATTTCAACTTGTTATAATGGTCAGAAGAACTTGAGCCAAAAAGATACCATGTTATCAAACCAGGGAATGAAAATCTACAGAGATTTCAGATTAAAAAAAAAATCAAATAAGCATAAATTTCCTCCAAATAAATACAAATTTCCAACTGTCAATTATAATAGTTGGTAATTTCCAGAATGCCAAAGAAGCCAAATTCAATTTCTCTATATTACTGATGCTTCCCTGTGAATTGGATTGAAGGCCTTATGGTATCCAGCTCCCATTGGACAGTGTTTAAGACCTAAATGCCTCACACTTCATTTTATAACATATCCAGTCTCTCCATTATAATGCGCCAATATGCTATGCAGTAATTGTATCTTAATGACAAGTACTTTACATTCAGACATTCAGTCTCTATTAACATTGCAAAATTTTAAAGAAGAAAAACCCTTAGGTATTTGCAGTGTGCCAGATACTTTGTATGAGTCATGGCCAGGGCAGTGATCCTGCCATTAGTATAATAAAAAGAGGTATTATCTCTCCCTCCTCTGAATGTCTGTAGGACTTACTGCCCCAATTATTTATTTGGCACAGGCTCTTGAAGTAGTAAACTCTTCACATGCATCTTGTTTGATTTAAGTGAATCCTTAAGGGCAACAGTTTCAACCTCTACTTACTGGGATCTTCCACACAAAACCTCACAGGCAACAGTTGTTTTCTTGAATATTAGACTGACTATTGTTAGCTAACTAAAGAACGCCACCAACATATCTTTCCTTCAACAACATCTTTGGAGCATGGTTACTGCTCTATACTCCAGAATGCCCATACTTCCAAATTTTCTGAAAAATGAAAATGAAGCAAACAAAGACAAGGTCTACTTAAAATAGCTAGATTTAAGGTAAGTGGCATTAGATTAAAATGAATAAATTTTCTTTAGAGCAATCTTAACTCTAATCAAAGATCTAAAAACACCTAGTTTATAGAAGAATTGGGAGGGCCCCAGCACTGTTTCAAATTCCTGTCCCTGGATTAGAAAACAAAAGCAATGACAACAAAGCTTTACCATCTGTCTCCAAACATTCTTCCTCTCTGCTCTAGACCTTCTTATACTCAATGAGTGGTCACCTCTACACCTTCCAAAAGGTTCCCATGGCTCATGGTCTTTAACATTGTCTAAAGCTTCTCTAACATGAATCAAAATATCCTTAAGGACTTGTTCAACACAAATTGCTGGGCTCTACCCCTAGAGTTTCGTATTCAGTAGGTCTAGTGGGGACCCACATTATTTGCATTTCTAACCAGTTTCAGGTAATGGTGATGCTACTCAACCAGAGACCATACTTCGAGAAACTATATTATATGCCCAAATCTTCCCCCATTTCTGTAATGTTTATTGTGTCTGATTAAATTTCTCAAATCAGTTTTAAAGTTTAATTCTTCTTTTAGATGAAGCTTGATTTCTTTACCTATTATTCTAAATAGGTGTTGGCCATGTGGGCTAAATGGCAAACACCATCTTCATGTGGAGCCTTTCAGTATAGTATTAAATGTTTTTGGACAAAGAGTGACTCTCTAACTTTTCTAGCTCCAAAATGCCAACAGTCATTTGGACCAGGTGATCATCTCTAAAGGAAAGCACCAAACTAGTTATTCAGCCTACATTATCCTAATTTAGCATTACAGGGATGCACATATTATTCTCTCTGCTGGGAACGTTTTCCCGTTCTCCTCCAGTTAACTTTTCTTCTTTCTTAGCTCAGAGGTGACTTATTCAGGGAACCTTCCTTTTCTTCCCCATGACTAGGTCAAATCCTATTAGGGGTTTTCACAGTCATTGAATCCTCTCCTTTGTAGCCCTTGTCATGGTTGCATTTTTTACATTTGCTTATATAAGTATTTTAACTAATAGCAATTTTCTGCACTGGATTACAAGCTCCAGAGCAGACAGGCAAATATTTTTGAACTGGATCACCATTATATTTTCAGCACCTAGCACAATATCAGGGACAAAGATGTTCAAATGAAGCTAGACAAGATCTGAGCTTTTTTTGCCCAAAGAAAGATAAGAAAAAGTATTCCTTTCTTTACTCTGCCCCTTCATTTGTTTTTCAGCCACCTGATACTCAAACAAAAAAAAAAGCAAGAAAAAGACAAAAAGACTTACCTTTTCTGAATAATTCTTGGAGACTTTCAGCACTTTGATTTAATACAGCCCATATTTCTTCTTCCTGCAGAGGTCCACCCCGAACCTCCAGGGCCTCAGCTAGTGACACGTGCATATTACCTAAGAAACAAAGGTAACAGGTGGGCTACACATCAGCAACTTGTACTGCACGTGCAATAGTGGAAGTTCGACATCCGTGATGAGAGATTGAGGTTCCTGGCTACCTCATTTCTCAATATGGACTTCAATCTAGATATCATCCTATATCTTAAATGCATAGAGGATAAAGGGATTGGAGGGAAAAAACCCTCAAAACAGCGACTTGCTCTAGCCCCGTAGGGTCAGCTTCAGAGCCTGAATCGGAAAACAGGTGGCGACTATTTCATGGGAGAAGACAGAGACTTCAAGGTCCCAGGAAGCAGCAAAATGCAGATGATAAAATCAAAACAGCCAGACTGAATAGAAGGCCTTTCAGATTATAGTTCTAGGCGTCATCCTATCCATCCCAGGTAATAAGAGGACAGGAGCTCCTACGGCCACGATGCATGAAGCTGAAGTAAGATGGAACACATTTCTTCCATTCACTAATTGACTTCTCTATCTTTGACATATATAACTATAAATTTTGTACTGAAAGGACTTAAGTACTTCTAGACCCAGCTTTGCTGCCAACTTAGCATTTGCCCTTGGAAAAGTCATTTCATCTCTAAACCTCAGTTTTCCATCTGTGACATGGGAATAATAATAATAATGCCATTTTGGGGTTTATAATGGGGAAAAAGGGTATTCCTGTAAACATGCTTTGTAATCTAACTCTATAAAGGTTGAATTAATAAAAAATCAGAAGGGTGCCTTTGTGGGGACATTTCTGTAGGGTCAATTTTTTCAATGGCATTCAATTAAGTGGGTGATAGAATGACAAATTTTAAGGTTTTCTAATGGGGCACAATAATCCTACTTTCATCGTGAAAGGGGGGAATGCAGCTACTTATTATCATCATATATAAGGTTTCCTACACTGACATTTCTTGAAAAGAAAATTGCTCTTGATCACTAAGACTTCTCTACCTAGCCCAACCAATTTAAGTGTAACGTGCATAATGTATGTCTCTTGGTAGGCAGAAGCAGATGGGTTTGGAAAAGAAGTGGAAAATGTTAAATGCTTGTTTTCTGTAATTATATCCTTCATTAAATTTTAAACTTAACCTATTAAAAAACAGCTGTTTCAGACAAAAGCTGACTTTGTTTACTCAACTAACAAAGATAGCTAATATTTTTTTAAATTTACATTTATGATACTTTAACCCAGACTGAAAAAAAGCAATTCCAGCTACAAATGAGGACAGCCATGTCTTATTACTTTCCTTTTCAAATGTTTACTGTAGCATTTTATGCTTAGTATCTGCCTTGAGGGGTGTGCACTTAAATGCACAATGTAGTAGTTAAAAGGGAAGATGCAAGATACTGCTTAGAAAAAGCCAAAGGCATTTTTACTTAGCTTGTACAGAACTGATTATTTATTCAGGCACCCCTCCCCCACAAAAAAACTGTTTCTTATGTACTTTATTAAATGATAGTACATTTAAAAAAAATAAGCTGCATTGCTTTTGAAGAGATATCTGAGTTATTACCTTCTACAGAAAACACTGCATGAAATTTGAAGTTTCAACAGTCGCATCAAGATACTATTAGCAATCAGATACCAACAGGATTTGTGAGAAAGTCTACCCTGTAGCAAATTTCCAAAGTAATATGTCTGAGAATACATATAAAGATAAAAAGAGTAGAGAGAAAATTGCATACGAAGAATTTCTTTGAAGATAGCTGTACTGATTTTCATGCCCCCACCAAAACAGGAGGGGTATTGTATAGGAAAGTGCCTTTGTTCGACCTCTAGCTGGTAAAAGAGGCCTCCATGGGACTCCTATGAGTGCTTCCCTGATATTAGGGATGCCATAGGGAGGACACCACAGACTGGTACCTGATACTTTAGGAATCTAAAGGTTTCTAAATCTAAAGGCTCCTAAAAATACTAAATACTTCTAAATCTAAAGGTTCTCACTCTGACACAGAAGCTAAAGAGGAGAGGGCACAAGAGATTCAGAGTGAGGAAGCATGCTGTATTCGGGATGGGAAGGTGTAAATAAGCAGGCCCACACAGAAGGCCAGCTTGGAGCTAGCAAAATCCTACCCAGACGATGAAAATGTTACAAAATTTAGGTTGTGGTAATGGTTGCACAACTCTGTGCCTATACTAAAAACCACTGAAGGTACATTTTAAAAGGTAAATTTCATGATATGTCAATTATATCTCAGGAAAGGTATCTAAAACAAAACAAAACAAAAAAAAAACGACCCTACTCAGAGTACCTCTTGAGTTCCCAGAGAACCTCCAGGAGGGGGAAGGTGGGGAAAGGGGAGGAGAGATGAACAGGAAGGGTGAAGGGGCAGGAAGAGAAGGGGGAGAAGGAAGAGGAAGAAGAATTCAGTAGGGCTCATAGGAAGAATCATTTTTTAAAATGTCACAGGAAGTATAGCTCCAGTAAAGGTCTCTGAAGAACACACAAAAGTACACATAAGAGTCAGCCTTAAGAACATACCAAATTCAAAAACTTACAAGCCAGGTAAAAAAAATTGTTTGCCTCCTTACCTTTCTTCCTGCCCCCAGTTTAAATCCTGATGGGATCAGATAAAGCAACTTGCCAGTGGGTGAAGAGATAAGCAACAAAAAGAAAAGTCAAGCACACAGCCTCCCACCTATAGCTAATCGTAGCTAGGGGAGGGAATAGTTTTAGCTTTGAATGAAGACTGAAGTGTTGATTAATATACTGACTAGGCACTTTTAATTATGGAATTGACACTGTATTTTCAACTTGAGGGACTGTAGTTATTAGTGACTGTAAGGAGAGAATTATGGACCCGAGTTTTTAATTTTTATTTATTTATTTTGAGAGAGAGAGAGTGTGGGGAGGGGCAGAGGGAGAGGGGAGAGAGAGAATGTTAAGCCAGCTTCATGCCCAGTGCAGAGACCAATGCTGGGGATTGATCTCACCACCCTGAGATCATGACCTGAGCCAAATTAAGTGTCAGGCACTTAACTGACTCGGACACCCATGTGCCCCAGACCTGAATTTTTTATATAGAGGCAACAGAAGAACTTCTCTCATGGAAGGAAGGAAGGAAGGTGATGGACAAAATAAGTTGCTTATGATTATACCTTATGCATTGTAAAGAAAATGATCTGTATCACACACACAAAGTTTTAAATCTTAAGATACAGATTTTTACTTATTTTTAAAGAAATGGGTTTTTTAAAATATAATTATTTCCTATAAGAAAATGAGAAAGTAAAAGTAACTTACAACAGAATTTTTTCAGTGTTTGACTTTTCTATCTATAAAGATTACTAATTATACTTCTGTTGCTTGACTCCATCAGGCTTAATTATATTTTATTAATCCTCTTAATTTTTATTAAAAAGTTTTTGTCCATTCAGTGTAGTAGGATCTCTACGCATCTCTGGTTGGAACTTGTTAGAACTCCAAAACATAGAGGGAACATTGTTTTCTAAAGCAATATTATCTAGCTAACAGAATAGATTTGATATTTACAACTTATAATTTGCTAGAAAAAAAGACTTTAAGATTTTTAAAAACTGCATCACCCTTCTAATTGCCCAATCTCAAAACTTAATGTAATGTTAAAGCAGCTTTCTAAAAATCAAACAACACTATACCTTCTAAATCGTCTATCACCATGTTTGGCAACTGCTTACCATCACCATCATTTTTTTCTGTTACTTTTATTCACCTTTACTATAGTTTTCCAGATCATTAGTTCTGAAAGGAAAGAGAAGACAAAGGAATGAAAGAAATGCAGAAGTAGAAGGATGAAAAAAAAGTAGAGAAAAAGAAGCTTGAAGTCAACCAATAGATCAGGGAAACAATTTGTCATGAAAATTCTTTTTTTTTAAGTTTTTTTTTTTTTAATTTGACAGAGAGCGCGAGCGTGCATACAAGCAGGGGAAGCAGTAGAGGGAGAGGAAGAAGCAGGCTCCCCAATGTGGGGGCTTAATCCCATGACCCCTGGGATCATGACCTAAACTGAAGGCAAGACGCTTAACTGACTGAACCACCAAGGTGCCTCTGTCATGAAAATTCTTAAAAGTGTATTACTTCAGTTGTTTTCTTTAGGCACCGTACTAGATAACCTGGGGTACAGATGTATGACTGGAATTATTTTACTATCAAAGAGGTTCTGCTCTACAGTAAACTTAACCGTATTCTTCACTTTTGTTTCCTTGAGTATTGTTGGTTACATAAATAAGTTTAAGGGAAAACTTTCCAATAAGAAAAATTAATTATATTACATAACCAGAATCATTATTGTGTTTTTGGTTAATACAAGTATTAACTATAATGACCTTAAAACTGTGCCCAGTCAGACAAAGCCACAAAAGGATTCTAACAGATGTCATTTTAATCCTGAGAGATTTGTGTCACTCACAAATAGGAAGCACAGAAAAGTGACTCCAAAAAGAATGAAATAGTAAACAGATTAACTGAATCAAGTCATATAATAACCTGTCTGGGGGGTAGACTAATGAATTAGGTGTGTTTAAGTTGATTCTAAGGAAATAGGGCTGTAAGACTACCCTATTTTAGAACAAACAACTATAGAATAGAGCTCTGTGTGTGCCACTAGTTTTGGGCAAAGAGCCGCTCACCATCCTGGCTAAGGACATCTTTGGTCATTAAGAAACCATGAGTTGAGAAAGCAACCTCCAAAATTGTAAGTTATCTTTTAACCCAAAAAGATTCACAATGAAGTTTATAAAAAGTTTAAGAGAAGCAAGCTCATATATTAGTTATTTTTGAAAATTAAAGAATCTGTGGGGTGCCTGGGAGGCTCAGTTGGCTAAGCATCTGACTCCTGATTTCAGCTGAGGTCATGATCTCAGGGTTGTGGGATTGAGCCCTGCACTGGGCTCCCTGCTGAGTGGGGTGTCTGCTTGAGATTCTCTCTCTCTCTGCCCCTCCCCCTGCTCATGTACACACTAAAATAAATAAATCCTAAAAAAAATAAAATTAAAGAATCTGTATATTTGGAATTTTAGCTGT